ATTTATGCTTTGTTGCGCTTGCATTGATTTGAATGGATTCTCATTAATTTATTTGTTGTTTGTTGTTTTTTTAGTGGATTTTGTGGGTAATTGAGAATGAATTTGAAAGTAAAATGTGTGAGAATCAGTATAGAATTTGATTGATGTGACTAATTAAAAAAATTTATATAATTAGTAGAAATTAAAGATTACCAAAATGTCCCTAGTTATTAAAGTTATAAAAAATGTTATTTATCATTGTTATATTTAAATTTTAAAATTTGTATAAAAAGACCAAATTATAAATAATTATTTAAATTATTTTATAAAAATTTAAAAAATTATAATGTAGTAAAATAGATTTATTATTTTATAATCTTTTAAAATATCAAAACTTAAAATAAAATTTGAATATATTATACACTATTTATCATAAATTTATTATTTTATAAAATTTAATTGAATATAATTTATATATTAAAAAAATTAACTATAACCTGTAGTTATAAAAAAATGTTAAATATGTTTTTCGTCTCTTAAGTATCACTGATTTTTGGTTTTAGTCCCTACTCAAAACTTTAATGGCTTTTAGTCTTCATAGTATTGAAACATGTAATATTAGTCCTTAAAAATGGATGACATCAACTTTTTATTGATCTGGCAAACGGCAAGGCCACGTCTTATGTCAACTTGCCTCTTCACCCTCTGTCACGTTGCTTGTGCTTGAACTTCGTTCATCTTCTTCGGCAGAACAATCACGGTTTCGCTTCTCGTGCACCATCACCCCAATCGCGCAACAGCCCAAGTCGCAGATCAAGCAAGCATCTCCATTCTTCACCTGCAAAGAATCAAACAGCCGAGCCCATTTTTCTTCCTTGCGAGTCATCCATGGCATTCCCAGAATCACCTGAAACTCAGACAAATATAGAAAACGCGAGCAACCTCAATCCTAAATCGCACCGTGTCGGAACAATGAGTTCGCTCCGACCAATCGAGAACCACGGCCAAGCAAAATCCCAAATCGCGAGTGTTGCGACGAACCCTAAATCGCCTAAGCCTCTTCGCCTCGCCTTCATCTCGCAAGCTCCCCTGCACCGACACAACTACTTGTAGAAGTTGTCTTTCATGCTAGTGTACTGTTGTTTACTTGTGGAAGAATGTCTCTTTGTGCTTTTTATTTTTTGGGATACAATTGTACGTGCATTTTTTTGCAACTTTCGTTACTTTCATGATTAATTGGCTCCTTATCCTTTATTCTCTAACCTGCAAGTAGTAATTAATTACCCCGTGTTTTAGGGGTCGGCTTAAATCACCATGGTCACAAAGGAGAAGAAAACACGCTATGTCATCTCATCAATGGAAATCCTTGTTTACAGAAGATGGTAAATTCTGTGATGGTGGAAATAAGTTCCTTGATTATACTTTTTCATCATGTATATATTTGAAATTTATTCAGATAAAATTTATACAACTATTGATTATACTTTAAACATGCAGGTATGACTTAGGCAGCACCAAGGGTGAAAGAGATGTTATAAGAACTCAAAATAGTTGGGAATGCAAGTTCTATCTTCAAATGTTTGATTCATTTTATTGCTTGTGCTCAATCCATCATGTACTGTTAGACTTAAAATGTATATTGTTTGGATTTTTTCCTTCTTGGGAAGGGTGTTAACATCAATTTAATTTTATTCCATATCTTTATACACAGAAAGCAGTATGAGAAACTCCGCAAAAAATGTAGGAGACTCATCAAGCAAAGTAATGTCGAGGTTCGTTCATGGACAAGTCGAGGTTTGTGAGCTTCGTCAAGTTTTCTAGAGAAGGAGGAATGGGGCTTACAAGGTTGCATCCTGCTAGCCAGAAGAAGAACCCAGCTTTGCCCCCAACTGAGATGATGAAGAAGCAACGTGGCAAATACTTAAGAAGAAGACGTGGCCTCGTCGTTTGCCAAATCAATAAAAAGTTGACGCCGTTCATTTTTAAGGATTAATATTACATGTTTCAATACTATGAGGACTAAGCCATCAAAGTTTTGAGTAGAGACTAAAACCAAAAATCACTGATACTTAAGGGATGAAAAACATAAAAAATAAGCATTTATCTTAGTTTTATTTTATTTGAAAACAACGTAGCTTATGTATGAATTCCCTTTCTAGTTCTTATGTTGTTTTCCCGGCAACAAAACCAACTCAAAAACCCTGATTTTCCACATTCACCTTTCACCGAATTCAAGGCCCTCTATCGCCTCCTTCTCACCCCAATATTTCTCTTCAATGTTCAAATCCATTCATCTTCGTTGAAATTTTCCTATTTGTCTTCCTTGATTTCTTTCTTCTTCCGTCGCCTTCTCATAGCGGGTTTGTGTTTGAAGGTTCTTCAATGGCGGAGGACCGGAGTGAGGTGAATGATTACGGTTCGGAGGACGAAGGAACTGAAGATTACAGGCGCGGAGGTACCATGCACAGGAGATCATTCACTATTCTCTGCATTGTCCAGGGTCCTCTCTTTCTCCAGCGTCTCCTTCTCCAGCTTCCTTCACTGCTTCAACAACCATGGAATGGAGCTCCCTACAATGCCTGCAATGGTGGATTGGAGCTTCTCTAGCTTAGCCTGTCTGCATTGTCCATGTTCCTTGCACTTCAGGCGGCCTCCACCTCCATGCCAAGCTTCCCTCTGATGGCGTCGTCATCATCATTGAACTTTTAACACCGCCTCCAACTGACGCCACACAAAGATGGAACCAAATTCGTCTTATTGGAACTGAATACGGAGGTGTAATCTGAAGGGAAACGAAGGGGGAACCGAATACTCTTGCGGCTGGAACCGGATACACCTCGTCTATGAATTGTTCGAAAATGTGGAACCTAATACTCCAGATATGGAACAAGATACATGTCATGCATCAATGGGTCGAACCTCTGGAACCGAGTACTCCATCTATGGAACTGAATACACTTTCATTTTTTTGTTTCCAACAGCACTGTTCATCGTCTTCTTCACCTTCGAACACACACTTCCAGTAAACCCATTCTTCTTCATGCCATCAACTCCTTCTTCGTGAATCTACAGTAGCCCTAGTAAAAGCGTAAGCCCACTGTTCTTCTTCACGTTTTTTTACTTTAAACTTGTTTGAATCGGTTCTGTACTTTTCCGCATACGTTAAGCTGATATACACACAAGGAATTGTTTAATAGCTTCAGGGTACTTATGACATTTCACCAACAATCCCTCCAAATCTCTTCACTTTGGCGGGCGATGAAAAAGCATCGCATCCCGCAAATCCGTTTTCACCAACACTCGCATTTCCTCTCATCCGAACACCACTTGCTTTTCAAATACTCGCTCGCATTCGCCTCTGAACAGTACAATCTGTTCAAGCGGCGCCTTAAAGATGTAAAGAACCTTGTTATGCAAAATTCTGGTGAATAGATGCATGACTGAGGAAAGAATCTGTGTCCATTTTGCAGCAGCAACAGACCTTCATACAGACGAGGATGGTTCTGAAGGTAGTTGATGATTGAGGGCTAAAAAGGTGATGTGCATCCACATTCCAATGAAAAAGTGAAGCAAGGAAAGATAGTATATTGTCTGGATCCTGATTTTATGCGAAGTTAAGTGCCTTGAAGTTTTATGCTCGAACAACATTAAAAAAGGTAAACCCTATGAAGGGACAAAAATTACCATTATCGAATTAATGTTATTCGAACATGAAATTTCAAGGTCGTTAACTTCTTTCTCTTTTCATCTTTGTTATTATCGATAACGTGATTACGTATTGGGTCATGTATAACAAAAGTTCAATACTCTTCTTACGCTATTAAACAAGGTTTTGGGTATAATATGAATTTAATTTATTTAACTATTAAAATTCACGCACATACAATACTATAGTACTTATTTATATTTCAAATTATATTAAATTTAAACAAAGCAATTTTCTTATGTATTAATTAGTTTTTAAATTATGTCAATGGCAATGCTTATAAACTTAAATGTTTTTAATAAAATCAATTTAACAAACATAAAGAAATTCAACATTCGCAAAATGTAAGGCCTTTGTTTGATATGTAATTGAAAATGATTTTAGGCGGGTGGAAACCAGTTGGTAATGTTTGCTATGATCGACTAAGAGAATAATTAATTTAAAATCGGTGATATTGAGTATATTATTTCTCTTTTTTTTTTCTATTGCTCTTAAACAAAACCCTTTAATTTTTCCTTTATTTTTTTATTTATTTCCTTATTTTTTTTATTTTCTCTTTTCTCTACCAAACAACAAGAAGTTAGAAGCATAACAAAAATAATCGGAAAAAAGAGTTATCTTAACCTTTTTAAATTAATGCAAAAATATTACAAACCATCTCTCATATTTTTACGGTCAAGATGTTACCTCTCATTTCTCACTTTCCATTATTAGAGAAGATAAAATAAAAATATTTTTGGAATAACGATAGTGGTGAAATTTGAATAGTTATTGAAAAGTACATAATTAAATTCATATATACACAGACAAAAACCTTGTTTGAGAATCTCTAAGAAAAATAGGAAAGAAAAAGAAGAAGATTCTCTTGGGACCCTAAACTTATTAATGTAGGGTTTGAAATGAATTGAATTTGATAGGTGTGGGACTATTTTGTCCTATTCATGTATACCAAAGGCCGTAGTACTTTTTACGCAACTCTACTGAGTCTGGAAAAACCTATTGAAAGGTGTAGGCACCTTCCTCCGCATACTATATCATCATCCTCTTCAACATTTAATGCCACAAAAAGCTTACACTTCAAAAGGTAAGGTATACGGCTAATCCTAACTCTCGAATATTCACAAAACCACGTGAAACCCAAAACTTTTTCCATCCTTATAACCTTCATCTTTATTCTCTCTTTCCTCTCTTCACAGAAAAGAAGATTTTTGAATCATCCCACAAGCATTCCTTGCTTCTTTCATTCGTCTGCTACACCACACACACACACACATATATAAATATATACACATCACCAAACACTATTGCATGCATCCACAGCACAACTCACCTATATCTCTCATTACAATTTATTTAATCTTATTCCTTCCTAAAATTCTGCATCATCATGGTCCTTGGAACAATGGCAAGACATTTGGACACAATAATAGGGTGATCAAATCTCTCTTTATTATAATTATTTGCTTATCGGAATGTTTCATACAATACCTCTGATATTACAGAAAAATATTCACCAGAATATGTATTCTGCAAAAACACACTGTAAATATTGTTTTTCCATTTTATGTTTTTCCCGTGATAACAGTGAGTTTTTTGTTTTCTGCATGCCAGGCCTGGTGTGATGCTTCTTTATCCTCTGTAAGTAACTATATGCCATATCATGCGATTATATATATATGTGTGTGTGTGTATGTATCATTTTCATTTTCACACCTCCTCATGGCTCTTATTGATTAATTAACAATTATTTAGAAAGAAAACAAGCATCCTACGCAGTGCCATGCATGCAGATTATTTTCACCATAAGACTAATCATTAACCTGTTGGCTTCGAGTAACTATCATAGATATGCATCAATGAAGGCGATTGAAAGTCCTTCAACCTTAGATGATCAACAATGGCTAACGTATTGGGTTTTATACTCCTTCTTGACTCTCTTTGAGCTTTCCACTCATAGGATCCTATGTTGGTACGTTAAAGTTGATTTCACGTGAGATTAAACTATATGTAGACAGAGTCACAGTAATTTGATGTTAATTAATATAAATGAAGGTTTCCAATTTGGGGATACCTGAAGCTTGTGTTTTGCATCTGGTTGGTGCTGCCAATGTTCAATGGAGCGGCTTACATATATGAAAAATATGTGAGGCAATACATAAAGAATATTGGAAGCTACAGAAGTTCCAATTATCCTGAGGAGTACAAGAAGGTCCTTCACATGATGACCATCGATGCAAGGAAAGCAGTTGAACGCTATATCGATAGACATGGCCCTGAAGCTTTTGAGAGAGTAATCAGAGCGGTATATATCTGTGGTGTGACAAAACTGAATTGCTTCATTATAAAGCTCGTCTGTCTGTGTTTTTGACAATTTTGTTTTCAACTTTTATATGTGCAGGCTGAAAAAGAAGCGAAAAAGCGCTGAGTGAGTATGGATTTGACCGGTTTTGGAATGAAAAGAACGTAAACATGCTCCAAACGATACTTCTTCCAGTGTACATTTTCAACATGATGGAGACGGAGTCTCACAATTATAGTTTAATTAAATAACAGCAATTGTAAGCTTGATATAAATTTTATATGTACCTTTCCATGGTTTAAAAAATGCACGTAAGAGCAAAAAAGTATATGGTTAAATTAAGTAAGTTTTTTTCTTTCAATCCTTTGAATAGAATTCTACAATTTATAATCAGTTTTCTCCGAAGCTCTTTCTGCAAGACTCATACCCAGAAACTCATGCTTAATTGGGATGACTGCTGCAACAGTCACAAACATATATAAGCGATCGTGATAAAGCTTGGCGATCGCATAAACCATATATAAAATGATTTGATAGTGGGTAATACTTATCTTCAAACAAAGCGACGTCATAATGATTATCATAGACTGAAGTGGCTGAAACCCAATCTTGTAATAAAATAAACTAGTTCAACCTTTTTTCCTTCAGCGCTTTGAACAGTAACTAATACTGTTCTGAATCAAAATTTTCAACCAAATGCTATTTGTGAGGCAGAAAATAGAAATTGAAACATAAAATCATGCACTGGTAATTATTCTAGAGTCTTCAGTATATGTGTACATTCTAAATCGTAACAACTTCACGCCCTCCTATAAAGGTACCGTCGGTTATTAGCATGACTTCCAGCTCAGTAATGCATCAGTTTAAGATACAAGTTGACTGATAGAATACTTGGAGAAGTATGATCTATACGACAAAGAATCAGACACGAGGATCGACTGCCATAATTTGCCCACTAACTTTTCCGTTGAACTTTTATAAATTTTTATTTTTTATTTCGTGTTGCATTAATAATATAATAATTGCTGGTGTAGCAGCAATTAAAGAACATCTGACACATCATTAGCTCATTTCGACTCACATAAATACGAAATCCGTTTGAATTTGGATTGAGTAAGTGAACTTGATTTATTTTTAACATATTTTAAGGATTACAAAACACAATTCAGTTTAAATTCTCTCACAACTTAAGACAGGAAAGCAAACTAAAATTATTTTTCCACCAAAGACAAGTTCTTGTGATTAACTTATTTCAGATCCAAAGCAGCTTGAAATAAAATTTGAGAAGTTTTTAGTGAAAAATATTTAAAGCAAAGGTAATAGAATTATTTTTCAGTAACATTGTGCCAGTTCAAATCAATAAGTTAGTATCAGATGGTTAGGGAACAAATAAGCCCCAAATTAAAGTTTTATTGAATAGGTAAGAGAGATGAACTATTATTCTCTTATTCTAGCCCCCAAATCTTTCTTTCCTTTCTTCTGTATAAAAAATAAGCACATCTTTGCCATAGTCATTGAACAGATACCATGTGGAATACCTGACTGAAAATAGATATGGAACGCATCAGCTTTGGTGACAAAATTCTGTAAAAGGCATAAAACTTCAAAATTGAGAGCTGGATGGAATTATATATCAATTTTCCACTGGCTTCAGCAACCTAGCAATATTGATACATATACATTCCTGTTATGTTCTCAAATGGATATATACTATGGAGGAGGAAAAACAGATATGATAAAATGACGTGACTTACACCTAAAATCAGTATACTTTTGTCAATTTTTCTCTGAATTTCTACATCACTATCACTGTCAGTAATTGCAAGTGAGAATATGGCAGAATAGCTTGTCATCATGATCCACATTTCAAGAGGATTTTAGGATGTGCTTAGCTCTTTTAGGACCAAGTCGGACAGGACCTGATGTTACCATGCCGTCCAGTTTAAAAGAATTCACAGCAGGATACCTTGAAGGATTTAGATTTTGTGCCTCACGCTGACAACACTTACTCCTAGCACTACCCATTTGTGGATCCAGTTCGGGTGCTCTTGTGTTCCGTTGCAATTCCACGCTTGACTTTTCACCAGTCAACCTAGTCACACTACAGAAGTTTTCTTGCACCTGTATATTCGGTAACTTGGTAGGTTTTCTGGAATCATCAAGATTAGCCACGGCTGTGGGTCTCTTCCTGGCATTCGTACACGGATGATGTTCATCCAACTTCAATCTGTCAGAGACATGGTTTATATTTCTGTTGCCACTATTTATGGTAGAAGGTGTAGCCGGAACATGTAAAGGTCGAACAATTGATGCTGGAGAAAGAGGAGTAGTCTGCATGGGACGCAAAGAAGTCAGATGATTAGAAGGGAAGCGAAGTTCAGGTGAATGATTCACGGATTGCGTAGTGAAATTATTTCCCCACAGATTTTGAGAAAAACTTTGACTACTTGTGCCTGAAAATTGCTGAGAGAAGGACCCTGGAAGCATTTCATCTGTTGAGCTTGACAACCACGATGGTGAACTTCTGTAAGGCCTTTCAAACCAAGATGTTTTGGTCTGTTCAGCGACAGTTGGCTGCAAGAAAGGAAATCCGAAGGCTGATTTGGTAACAAGGGGATTTTTATTCCCGTCGTTCAGCTCACCATTGTTTAAACTAGTGGAGTGTCTAAAATTGCCAGGAGTAGGTAGTACCACCGATTGAGAGCTCAATCCTAGAGGTTTAGCTCCATGTATAAATTGCTCTGGAAAATCGTCTGATGCCCCATTAAATACTGCATACAATGTAGACTTTGGAGTAACGGGATTGAAAAAAGAACTTGCATTTCTGTTGACTTCAACACTTCCATTTTGAGATAAAGGATTCCTTTGCAGATCAATAAACTGTCGAGAAAATCCAGAGTCTGTACCGGGCATCAACATGGTGCTTTGTAGTGCTTGATTGCTTTGAATTTTGGCTGATTGCAATACACCGTCAGCAGATATTTGTAAAGGTGAACCAGATACCCAATCCTGCTTAGAACTTCTTCCCAACAAAGAGTGCTCCAAAGCTGCATATTCAGAATAATTCCTTCTTCTGGATTGCTCATCTGTCCAAACATCTCCGGCAAATTGTTGCATCTCTTGGCTGCTTCTACCAATTGGAACATCCTTACCCATCAACCTCATTGTTGGTTGGCTGGAAGTTAGTGAGATATGATCTGAACCTTCTTTCAGAGAAATCGCCCCATTTCCACTGTGATTCCGTACTTGGTCGGATTGATTCTTTTCAATGAATGCGTTTTTCTCAAGGTTCGGCTTTGAATTAAGAGGTGGGAGATAACTCGTATCTGAATTAGGTTGGTGGATATCTTCTCTCTCTCTACTTTGTAACTCAGTAACGAATAATCTGGTTGGATGGTGTGGAAATGGATTAAGACCATCTCTTGTAAATGTCTTCTGAACATGACTCTCATTTGCACATAAATTTTCCAGGTTACCTTGGTGAAGAATATTGCTAATGGGTAAACCACTTAAAGAACCACGTACTGCAGTTGATGTCTCTGGCTGGTTCATCCCTAAGTTTACACTTGAACTGAAATTGATAAGCTCACCATGAGAATTGAGGGGCAAACCAAAAAAACTGGGATCCAAACAGGAATTTTTCACACCTCCTTTATCCCAGCCTGTAAAGGGGAATGAGTTATCAATCATATCTGCAGAAAACATACGAGAAAACTGTCTGTCACCCGAGGCCTCATCACTATTATCATTATCTCCACAAGCTTGCAATGGAGATTCTGGTTTTTCATTTGCATTATATGAAGCAGAATAAGATGACGAAGGCTCCAGAAATGTCTTCGTATTGGCATTTGAATCAACAAAATCAACCTGGGGATCATCGAAATGGTCCAACTTTCCACTGTAGTCGAAAGATCCAAATTCACATGCTTGTGTATTTATACCAGACATCTGCTCTTCATGAACTGCAGAAAGAGGACCAGAAATTTCTGTATACGGAGAACAATGCAGGGTAGTTCTGTTGCTTCCACAAAAAAAGTGTGAATTATTATTGTCACAAACTGCCACCTTTGTCAACAATTCTGACTTCTCTTCTAAGTGATTTGACTTATCTTGATCAGTACATGGCTTCAAGCAGCTTTGTACGGTATCTTGTTCCAGAGTGTTAGAAAACTGTTTACTTTCAACTATAGGGCAAACCTCCTCCTCTCTCTTGTCTCTGTCTATATTAACATGAACATGGCCATAATTTCTATTTGGCTCCATACTCGCAGTTTCTTCATCACTTCCAGAGGATTTCTCCTTTACTACTGAAGAAGCCAGCGCATCTGAAGATATGTTGAACATGGCTTCATCAAATGAAGTTGTCTTTTTTGGACCAAGTATATCATCTTTACCAGAGAATTTAACATGTCTGTCAGAGGTTGGCTCTTCATCATTATAATGGCTTTTTTCAGGACCATTTCGAATGTTACTGACACCTGATGTCTTTCCAGAAACATGTTTAAAGTAGCTCTTAAGAATACTTCCATGAACAGGAGATATGGCCTTTTGTTGCTTTCCAACTGAGTCAAAAAATTTAACGTGTTGCTTCTTTTCTACCGATATACAATTTAAGCCCAATTTCTTTCTATCAATAGAAGGATCAACCCCATGTAGCGGAACCATTTTATTACCAACTGTACCTTGTAGTTTTCTGGAACTATTTGCTACAATTTGCACCATGCGCTCGTAAGCATCACCCTGATATAGACAAGAGTCGCAAAATTAACAAAATTGTGCATGTCCTATTATAATGGTATCTGAATAAGATGATTAAGTTTTGAAATACAAAATATGAAATACTTGTTGCCAAAGAGAATTCACTGAATATCTCCAATCCCATACAAAAACTAGAATATAATAATACATTCTGTAGCTTTTATCATTTTTTATAAAGGAGTTTCCAGCAATAAATAAAAAGACACTGTCACCCTCCAAAGAAAATAATAATAATAAAAAGCACAATAGATTTGCTAACAAATTATATGCAATTTTTTATATCAGGATACAGCTATGCCAATGAATGAAAAAGAAAATAAATAAGATAACAACAGCATTTCATGCTTGTGATGTCAACAGGTCTGTTTCATAAACTGTCCATATACAACACCAGCATTTCATATACTCTTAACAATTCCAACCGGCAAATCAGAAAGGAGTTAAACAGTCCAGAACCATGATACCATTACTCGGAGCATTGGTTTTTCATTTTTTTTTTTCTAATTCTTAGTTTGTCCGTCATAAAATAGCTTTTGTAAAAGATTAAGGAAACTCGCTCATGCCTATACCTTGTGACTGCATAATATAAAAAGGCAGAGACATTTTCAGATGGAAAATATGGTCAAGTAAAAGTAGATTTAATACGAAAGAACAATTCCATCATTGAAAAAATTTCAGGGAAACTACACAGCTATATTTCCAGCATTAATTATAAAATCATGATTCATACTTCTAGATAAACAAACACTTTGATTATTAAGTGGGAAAAAATCATTATATTGAATAAAAGACTCTAGTGTCATTTGAATAACAATTTAACTGGGNACTTGTTGCCAAAGAGAATTCACTGAATATCTCCAATCCCATACAAAAACTAGAATATAATAATACATTCTGTAGCTTTTATCATTTTTTATGAAGGAGTTTCCAGCAATAAATAAAATGACACTGTCACCCTCCAAAGAAAATAATAATAATAAAAAGCACAATAGATTTGCTAACAAATTATATGCAATTTTTTATATCAGGATACAGCTATGCCAATGAATGAAAAAGAAAATAAATAAGATTACAACAGCATTTCATGCTTGTGATGTCAACAGGTCTGTTTCATAAACTGTCCATATACAACACCAGCATTTCATATACTCTTAACAATTCCAACCGGCAAATCAGAAAGGAGTTAAACAGTCCAGAACCATGATACCATTACTCGGAGCATTGGTTTTTCATTTTTTTTTTTCTAATTCTTAGTTTGTCCGTCATAAAATAGCTTTTGTAAAAGATTAAGGAAACTCGCTCATGCCTATACCTTGTGACTGCATAATATAAAAAGGCAGAGACATTTTCAGATGGAAATATGGTCAAGTAAAAGTAGATTTAATACGAAAGAACAATTCCATCATTGAAAAAATTTCAGGGAAACTACACAGCTATATTTCCAGCATTAATTATAAAATCATGATTCATACTTCTAGATAAACAAACACTTTGATTATTAAGTGGGAAAAAATCATTATATTGAATAAAAGACTCTAGTGTCATTTGAATAACAATTTAACTGGGATTTTAACTGCCCCGTCATTCACTTAGAAATATGTCAAAATGTCTGAAAATTGAAATCCGTTAAGATCAATTATAAAGTTCCTCCGTGTACCGCGAAAACTTCGAGTAGAAGCTTAGAAGATTGGAACAATTGAATTAAGACCTAAACTTTATCCTTATTTTATCATGATAAAAAATTACACGAGAACTTCAAAACAAAATTCTTGAATTCGATTCCATTAGTATCAAAATTCGGAAGACCGAAACATATAAATCTGTATATGTATATATAATAAATGTTTAGATCATATGTTTTAGTAGCCATATGATACACTTAAGTACTAGGGAAAACAACCCAACTTTTGTTACTAATACATCTCAGAAAATGCTCGTAGATTATCTGAGCTTTATATATTCTCGTACAAATACACTATCATTTTCTTAAGCTTTAACGATTCAATGTACATGAAATAACTAAAAATCAAAATCCAGTAACCATTTATAGGAATACCAACAAGAAGAATGCATGAAAACTTCAATTTAAAATCTCATTTATTAACAATAAAATAAATTAAAGTTTTTTATGTAGTAATCCTAAAATTGATTTTTCCTTTAGAAACAGAATGTTAAACAAACATTCAACAATTCGTACAAATATTAAAAAAAAAATCTAGGTGTAACTGAAAGCTGGGCCGTAAAAATAATTATATACTATAATACTAATAGTAAGATATTAAATATCCTATATTGTAAGACGAAAAAGTTTTCAGTTCAGTACCTTCGTAAGTTCCTTTTTTTTCATAATGGAGTACCCTTCTAAAGTTCTAATAACAAATTTTCTACCTTGGTTCCCGATTACACCTCATGTTAAGATAAACGAAAATTGTAATGATGAAACCCTATATTTTGTCACAAATTTTCTCCCTTGTACAATTCCACTTCGAGGAATCATGTAGGGAAACTTTTGTTTTGATGTCAAAAAAGATTATTTCTAAAACTAATATCCAAGAGAAAATTGTCCTTCTATCTAACAGCATATACATCCTTATCATTATTTATACGAAGCAGAAGCTAACGAAAAACACATGCATCGATGTAGAAAATATTGTTGACAAACAATTGTTACAGATTCGTAAATTAAAATGTCACCATGTTGTGTAAATTATTATTGTAAAATAGTTTTTATGATGATTTCCTAATTCGTTTAGAAAGGAATTTAAAGTACAGAGAATAATAAATCTTTTAAAATGAGAAGAGCCACAATTATAAAGAAGGTTAAATAAAATATTCCTAAAGTCACTTATTTTAATTTTATTAAAATTTAGGACATTAAGTAATACTTTTCTCTAAAATGAATTATATTAAAAGGGGAGGGATGGACAATTCAAAGTGAATGCATCAATCATGGTGCTTAAATACTTTTTTTTTAACATAAATATAAAACTGCTACGTAAAATTGTTCACTGCTGAAATACGCATATGATACACCTCTGCAGATCACATATCACCATTCCAAACATGAAATTCCCGTAGAATCTCAACGCCGAATCATAAAAAAATGACAGGCGGGGAAAAAATATTATGATTGTAGAACCAGAGTTCGAGAATATTTTGGAAAATAAAACATTTAATTAGATTAATCTAGATGTTATTCAAAACAATATCCTAAGATGCCATTATTATAGATATAATAAGGATAACATATATGTTTCATTACTTCCACTTTCAAATTTCGGCCAAAATTACAATTAACCGACATTAGTTCCGGTCCTCTCATGGTTTTATATACTTCCTATAGGTTGGGTTCTGACACATTCACATTGGTTTGATTGGGTATCTCAAAACTGTCTGCACATAAATATGTACAAAACAACACTACTCACGAACTTTTATTGACCGATTACATCGAAGTTATTCTACCCAAAGACCAACAATTCTTGAATATGATCAGGTGTCTTACAAGAGAACAGATAGTCCAAAGCACTATACCATAAATTACCACCCTCTAGTTCACTAATACGTCACAAATATGCCCATGCGATATGAACTATATCAAACCAAGTCAGAGTATTCTTTTTCTGATGATACACGCCCATCTGGAGTTGCAAATGCAAACATTCATCAATCTAAATCACTATATATAAACTTCTGACACCCAATAAATGATCTAACAAATTCTGGACCTCTACTTGCAGATCTCCCACTAGCCAAAATACATCCAGCTGTAAGCTGTGTATAAACCTCCAAGTCCGAAAAACTAGCCACAAGAGATGAGAATCTGTTGATCTACCCATGGCCCATATGATAATTCCCCCCCCCCCAAATTATTAGTTAATAGTGACGGGGCTAGAAAAATCCCTCATCATTAGGCTCACCTCTTCTACCTCGTAACCCATGAGTGGCCCCTTCTAGCTAGGGTACCTTGTACTGATTATACACACCACAAACACACATACACCTTACAGCTGGAGCAACATTCTTGCAGTCTTCACCACCATCTGAATTCCTTCCGCTCACGAAGGCACTTGTCTTAATTTTCGTTTTTCATAACTCCCCTTTCCCAACTTTTACTTGCCGCGTATTTCGCTGAAGTACTAAATTAAAAAAACACAAACTCACTTTCGACGACAAATGTCAAGCTCTCTCTTATCAGCTTTTTCAGCGGTAATTTTATGCAGAAAAAGCAAGATATAGAGTAAGCAAAAGCATAATCGCATGGCATAAGCAACTACATCTACACAAAATCTACAGTGTTGGGTAATATTTTATGCGCAAATTTCAGGGATTCTGCCCGGAATTAACTGCAAATCGCGGAAACACAGCAAATAACGAAAGACTGAGTTGTATTTTATGAGACACAGTCTACATACCTTCCTCCCAGTTGGTCCATTGTTGAAGACATTANTATATACTTCCTATAGGTTGGGTTCTGACACATTCACATTGGTTTGATTGGGTATCTCAAAACTGTCTGCACATAAATATGTACAAAACAACACTACTCACGAACTTTTATTGACCGATTACATCGAAGTTATTCTACCCAAAGACCAACAATTCTTGAATATGATCAGGTGTCTTACAAGAGAACAGATAGTCCAAAGCACTATACCATAAATTACCACCCTCTAGTTCACTAATACGTCACAAATATGCCCATGCGATATGAACTATATCAAACCAAGTCAGAGTATTCTTTTTCTGATGATACACGCCCATCTGGAGTTGCAAATGCAAACATTCATCAATCTAAATCACTATATATAAACTTCTGACACCCAATAAATGATCTAACAAATTCTGGACCTCTACTTGCAGATCTCCCACTAGCCAAAATACATCCAGCTGTAAGCTGTGTATAAACCTCCAAGTCCGAAAAACTAGCCACAAGAGATGAGAATCTGTTGATCTACCCATGGCCCATATGATAATTCCCCCCCCCCCAAATTATTAGTTAATAGTGACGGGGCTAGAAAAATCCCTCATCATTAGGCTCACCTCTTCTACCTCGTAACCCATGAGTGGCCCCTTCTAGCTAGGGTACCTTGTACTGATTATACACACCACAAACACACATACACCTTACAGCTGGAGCAACATTCTTGCAGTCTTCACCACCATCTGAATTCCTTCCGCTCACGAAGGCACTTGTCTTAATTTTCGTTTTTCATAACTCCCCTTTCCCAACTTTTACTTGCCGCGTATTTCGCTGAAGTACTAAATTAAAAAAACACAAACTCACTTTCGACGACAAATGTCAAGCTCTCTCTTATCAGCTTTTTCAGCGGTAATTTTATGCAGAAAAAGCAAGATATAGAGTAAGCAAAAGCATAATCGCATGGCATAAGCAACTACATCTACACAAAATCTACAGTGTTGGGTAATATTTTATGCGCAAATTTCAAGGATTCTGCCCGGAATTAACTGCAAATCGCGGAAACACAGCAAATAACGAAAGACTGAGTTGTATTTTATGAGACACAGTCTACATACCTTCCTCCCAGTTGGTCCATTGTTGAAGACATTACTCTTTTTCTTCTTCTTCTTGCTCAGAACCGTCTTCTTCTCATTGTTTACGAATAACACGCCACTCTCACCGTACTTCTCCACCTTGCTTTTCTTCTTCTTCGCCTTCTTCATCTTTTTCTTTTTCCTATTCTTGTTCGTACTCTTCCTATTCTTAATTACCGAAACAACTGGAGCAGCCGTAGAAGCGGAAGGAGCAGGAGCACAAGCTGAATCCTCACAACGATAATCGGATTTCTCTTCGTTTTCCTTAACCTGAATCCCTTTGCTTTTGCCTGCTTCGATCGGCGGTGCGACCGTGAGAATCTCCGCGATCGAACGCTTCTTCGGAGCCTTAGGTTTGGACTTGCAATTAACGGTCCTTCTCATCTGCCGTCGTTCCTCCCTAACGGCCTGCGCCAAACAACCGTCGATGTGCGCGTTCACCGCCGTTACGGTGGCTGCGTTAAAATCGCGGCAAACAGGACACACCATCTCCAACTTCTCCTCCTCCTCTTCAGCGGAATCTCTTCGGTCCGATTTCGACGACTCGCCACTTCCGCGCGTGGATCTCAGCGCCTCGAGGCGCCGAGAGAGCCACTCGAACTTAGAAACGGTATTCGAAACCTCGTCCGCCACATCCTCTCGGAACGGCCAGAACTTCAACACGCTCTCGATTTGCGGTGGCGGCGGCTGCAGCTGTGGTGGCTGTTGTTGTTGCTGCTCTTCTACCTTGAAAATCTCCGCTATGGAACGCTTCTTCGGCGCCTTCGACTTCGATATAGAGGAGGACGACGACGACTTCAAAT